AAAAAAAAAATATATTAAATTGAAATAAACAGTAGAAATAACTTAAACATAAAATATCTCATTAAAGGTTATTATAATATTTTTCACTATACGGAGATTAGTGAACCCATCCCTAAATCACATAATGCTGCGGTTGTCTGAAAGAAAATTACTTCAAAAAACATCTAATTGGAAAACTTTTCTTAAAATAAGGTTTTTATAAATAATTTTTAACGAGTGAACTTCTAAAGGCCTATTCATAATCATATTATAATGTTCACGTCACATTACAAATCATCTTATGTTGCTATTTATTATATTAATTATTATATCACCAGAATGATGTGATGTTGCTTACTCTGTAGTGTTATAGAAGTTGTACTTAAAATTAATGTTCAACTGGATCCCTTTAATGGATGATATAATGTATTTAAATATAAATATATCACAAGGAATCACTGCGTTTGGCAAACGACTCCAGTTGGTTTCTGTAGAGGAAACCCAGAGATGTGATCAACAGTGACGTCAGACTTAGCGAAATGGCTTTTCCCGTCAGGATCGCCAAAACTGGGAGGAACAAAATCAGCTTCACTCCAGCACCGAGCATTAAAGTCTGCATGTCCCATGGCTTTTTCTTTGATTTTTTGCTTTCTAAAATGATAATGAACAATGTTATTATAGTGTGGCATAATTGATGAACGATCAAAAATGTAATAATTCATGATTTTGTACGATATTATACTATTTCATAATAATTATTCACCACTGCCATGACACCAAATGTATAGAAATCAACGTGATTATTAATAGGTAAATTATAGTCAGGCGATACCAAAGATTAAACATTTTGATTTCGATTATCGATGATGAATAAACATTTTATTTCAATGGGAAAATTATAAGCAAACTAACATAAATTTTGAAAAAAAAAAAAATTATAATTTGTTTTTTAACTCATATGTTTCCAATTTTTTTTTTTGTATATATATTATATAAAGCACTACCTATATAGTTTAAATTTGATGTAATATGTTCGTTATTCATATGGCGGAACATATTTAATAACTATTATCATAAATTATCAAAATTAATATGAAAAAACATACAATTTTAGTCTAAGGTGTTAAAAAATAAAATAAAATTGTAAAGTATCAATTCTTTTTTACAGACTCATACAGAGTTGTGAGCTGTTCGAATACCTCCGATTTCGTTTTCGTCACCGAACAGCGCACGTATTGCTGAAATCCAAATCGGCGAAAAGACGTCGTGACATTCAATCCGCGAAGTCTTCCCACCTTTGTTCAACTGATTTGTCAAACACTCCAAAACTCTTGAAATCCTTTTGACCGCTGAATCAGAACTCTTCACGGCCGTCAAATCGTTTACCAGCACCAATCGATCTGAGTCTGTCGTCTGTGGATGGTCATTTGGCGTAGAAGGGCTTGACGACTCGGTTATCCGGGTGAACGACAACACCGACAAAAGACAAAATATATTATGTCGGAATCGCATGTTGTCAGTTATCAATCGGATTACCTGAACTGACCGATCGTCTTTGGTTGTGAGCGCTTTTTATATTTCCATGCCCCTATACACACTCGCATATTATATTATGCACGAAGTCCAATCTCAGAGACGTACTATTACGACAAGTATTGACCGTAAACGTTTCGACCAATTGATAGTTATCCTTTTTAATAATTTTCTGCACGTCAATAATATTATTACCATCATGTTTGTCACTCAGTTGCACAAAACGATCGTTCTACATACTAGATGACATACATATTGAACACGAATTATACTTAAAACTCGAGTAATGATCGAATTCGAGCGTATATAACTATAGTAACTATTGCATTGTTTCACTATCTAAATAGTTTAAATCAAATGAACATGTCACCATAAACA